TCCCTTCAACGTGGCGGAGAAGCACGACAGCCTCCAAGCGATACGAGGGAGAATTGCAGAGGAGACCAAGAACGCGGTGGAGGGCGATTTGGCTGATGACGTTCGGGGAGACTTGCACGCGTCCGAGATGATTGCGATGGGGATGCAGCTAGAGCAGCAGCAGCGCGCCCTTACCGCTGACATCGGGGCACTGAAGCTGCACGCCACAGACGGGCAAAAAACCACGATGCTGGAGCGGGGGAACAAGCTTCGACGAAAAATCGCGAATTGGATCGCCACCCAAACCGACTTCCAGCCTGCTCTTGCCAGTCTGCGAGCGGCCGAGGATCAAGCGCGCGCAAAGGCGGCGAGGTCGCAGCCAACCGCAGGGATCCCCGTCCATTCCATTTCCCTCTGGCTTCCATCGAAGCAGATGGCGCACCCTGGAACGGCTGCAAAGGAAACCCACGCGCGCTACGAGTTCGACATGCGGGAGGCAAATGCGCATGAGGCGCTTGAGGAGATTCGCCGGCTCCTGCTTGTCCGCACGCACCACTACAAATTCAAGGACCAAAACGTCGAGGGGGTCGAAGCACAAACGCGAGCGAGAACATCGATTCAGATCCTCGATGAGCTCATCCGCCGGCAGGTGTCCGATTACAAGGCTGCACGATTGGCATTAACCAGGCTCGCCCCGCTTCTGCACGAGACGCACTGGCAGCTGATCTTGAAGGAGCTTTTGCAGGACGACGTTCGGGGGATGCCGCGGGCCGCATTTCACGATCCAGAGCGAAAGAAGAAGAAGAAGAAGGAGCGGGCTACGCCGCTGAGAGAGATGTCGTGGATCTGGAGGACAGGGGTGAAAAGCCTGACGGCTGCAGCGTCGACGAGCGAGGAGGCGATGAGGGAGGCCACAAACGAGGCCTTGCGAGTCGAGTGGGCGAAGACACGCGCAAGAGCGCATCGTTGGACAGAGGAGGTGGACTTACTGGAAGAGGAGATGCGTCGAACGCTGGTGTTCTTGGACTGGAAGGTGTCTTGGTGGCAGGGCCTGCAGGAAGGTCGTCCAGAACAGGACGATCCCATACTGCGCGAGGGACTGAACGCCTACGCAACTCGGCAGGCAGACATCTTTGCAGAGATGAAAGCAGGCTTCGAGAAGGCATGGGCAGACGTACCAACGTGGATTGCGATGGGACGTGAGGGTGTCGCGGCTGATCGGGAACAAGGGGAAGGGGCAGCTCATTATTTATTGTATTTACCTGTACTATTAAACAATTACACACTGTTGGCGGAGACTTGCGCGACCTATTTGTGCAGGCGGCACCATAAATCCTAACCCTAAACGCAGGATCCGGTTTGGGCAGCCTCATGCCGAACCAAATACAACCGGCAAAGGACTGAGAAACACGACACAACATTTGATTGTCGTGCGCAACGACGCCGAGCACATGTGCTCGCTGTTGGCGACGACAGGAGATGTCTCATCACCGTGGCATGTGGCGAGCCTGCAGAAGTAAGGGTGGGAGGCCGCCTCTCGTGTTATACATAAAGGCTGACTCTAATCTAGAGGTCTCATTTAATAAATGGTCGTCTTCTAATGGGAGGTTTTTATATATAACACCCCCAGGCTGTGGTGAAATTTCAGGAGCGCCACAACGTTAATTTATTGGCCGCGGAATTGCGGCGGTGGTGTTCTCCCTTTTCCCGACCACGGAACGAGGCTAGACCCATTCGTGGTTTGGATTTCCGGGATCCTTTTCTTCAGAACGAGGAACGAGCGAGGGAGTCTGTCAAGAGAGACTAATCCTTTTCTATGGTTGATAATATCATGTCAACCCGCGTAGACGCCAGATAACACCCACCGGAGAGTCGCGAAAAGCATGCGCAAGTGCCCTATCCGCGCGCGGTACAGTAAATATCTCATGGACTCTCACAAAACATGACGACCGCTCGAGTCGGATATGTAGCCTAACAGACTGACATCGCCCACCAGATATATCCTCATCGGAGCTCCGCGCACGCGCGCGCCCGCGGGACGCACAAAGTCGCGGCCCACCCCAGCATCTCAAAGAGTCAACTGCGGCATCAGGAGACAAACAGCAATAACAAGCTCAAGTTGAGATAACAAAGAAAAACCTCAAAGATAGGGCTAACGGCCCGGGCTCGACTCGAACGAGCGTGCCCCCGGGAACAGCAGGAGTCTGTGATAATGTATGCGGGTGGCGCCATCCGCCGCCGGGCCTCTTTTTACTCCAAAGACAAGATGTCCTGTTCAGAGGCGACCGACTGCCTCCGCTCCGTTCTGTCCAGAATTCCCATCAATCTCCGATCAATTGTCCCCCGAATCCCGAAGCTCTGCGCCTGTATCGCGAGGAGCAACTGGTCATCGAATGCCCATCCGCAAGTTTAATCATTGAGAGGCCCTTCAAAATGGATGCAAAATGATCTGTTTCCCCTCTACTAGTGGCCCGGGCTCGAGTCGAACGAGATCCCCGCGATACCTTCAGGTTCTATATACACCGGATGCGGGTGGCGCCGATTCGCCGCCGGGCCTCGTTTCCCAATGCGCTTTCCGTGATAAAAGTAGAGGCGTGCTGGGGCGGGGGGAATGAAGGCCGCGAGATCTGCTGCTCCGAGAGTCAGAGGCCCGAGCCCATCGAGGGCGAGGTTGAAAGAGGTTGAAAGCCGCATACCACGGTCCTGAGACCCGAGCGCGGCTCCTTGCTCAGATCCAGCGTGCCTGAGGACATGATCGCGTGAGGCAGCTCGGGTCTCTGATGAATCGTACGAATCGATATCGAATAGAGATTAAGACAGAACGCACGAGCGAGCGACGGACCCGCCGTCAAGGGTTGATACTTGAATGTAGGATATTTTCGCCAGAGCACGAGCCATCGCATGAAGGGAGATGTTTCTGACACTCCGTGCCCGCTGGATCCCGCGACGGGGACGCAGTGTGCGGCGCACGGCCCACGGAGGGATGGGGCGAGTCGGATGCTTGGGCGTGGGCGTGAGAACCAGAGCGAGGGCCAGGCAGCGACGCGGCGTTGTCAGAAACCCTGGAAGCCACAGGTAGCTTCAGACGAAAACAGCATGGGGCAGCGCTCGCCGGGGCCCGCTGTGTTATGCAGCAATCGTGTTAAGAATCCGGTCTTCGCGCGCTGCCGAAGCCTTTGAGGAATGAGCTGTCTAGCAGCGACCGAAATATATTTGAGTTCAAGAATCCCTTAAATCAGCAACGTTCACCGTGAATCGTACCAAACAGCCGAATAGTAAGAGCGAATCTTTACTAGACGTGATTTACGGAATATTCTCGTAGATCTTAGGACTGCGATGCTTAGATGCGTACCCGCTAGGCAAGGCAACAACTAGCTCTGTGGTAGAACTCACAGCAGAAGGCTGGCGCTTCAAGTGATGATGGATTGCAAAGGTAAGATGTGGTGTATTACATGAGGGGGAAAGCTCCCTTTATATACCTAGAAAGTACTCTAAATATAGCTACATGACTCGTTCTGACTCGGGCGGTAGTGACTCAACCCCCGAGACTGTGTACACGCAAGCGCATACGCAAGCCCGAGGCAAGTGACAGCCTCTCGGGCATCTCGGAGATCAGCTGACCTGCACATTGAGAGTGCATGGAGGGTAAGCGACTCAAGATGTGTCAATATCCATGACAAATCGTCCGTTCGAGGCAACCAGAATGTTGGCCATGGGGTAGTCCACGGGGTCACGAGTGAAGGACAAAGGAAGCCGAAGGGGATCCTGGCGCCGGAAGGGACGAAGTGGCAGAGTCGGTGTGAGCGTGCGATTGAGAGAGGCGCGCTCCAGGAGGCAGCAAAAGAACAAAGATATAAAGATGGTACGGAGTCAGAGGGAAGAGCCAGATCTACCAGACGGACGCAGACGCTGGCGACGTGATTCGCTTGGCCTTCATTCTGCGCAAGCAACGAGCAAGAGGGACGGGGCGCGCGGGAAAGCTGCCTGGAGCGGGAGCGAGGACGAGGACGCACTGATCAGGGGACCGATCGCGCAAGGTCGGATTCGGAGAGTGAGTTGGCGGCTAGGATTTGCGCGGAGGAGCAGAGGAGCAGCGCGCATCGGCCGAGCATTCGATAGCGGCGCGCAGGGAGGCGTACAGAATCAGTAATTAACTAGTAGCGAGGAGAGGGGCACGAAGAATGCGCGCCCGCGGGGCGGCAGTGATTGAATAGCGTGCGCATGCCCTAGACGGACGACAGCGCGCACCAACCGCGGTGCAGCGTGCGGGACAGAGCTTGCGCAGAACGGTAGTCGAAGCGTAGCCTCTAGGGCGGGGAGGGGCGAGCGCGCGAATGCCCGTCGGCGTCAGATGCGCCCGAGGAGCGTGCCCCCTGGTACCAGAGCACCGTGGTGAGACCGGGCGACAGCTAATAGCGCTAAAGCTGCAAGCGCTAAAGAGCGCTAAAGCGCTAAAGCTCAAGCGCTTAAGCGCGAAATCTAGCACCTAGCGCCTGAATTGACCGGACGCGTCGATAAAAGAAAAGTCCGAGAAGCGGGACGTAGCGTTCAAGGGGTGCCACTCGGAGAAAAGGTATGAGAGGGACAGCGGGACGGCAGGCGGAGACGTGCGAGCCATATAGGCTGCGTTGCGTAGCACCGGGCGAAAAGCGTTGTGTGCCTCCAGGGCGGGACCGCCGGACTCGAAGACATCTTGGGAGGAAAGAAGAAAAGGCCCGATGACGTGGCACGGCCGCGTCATTCAGCATGATCCGCGTGATCGCCGATCTCGGCAATCCCCGGTTTGGGTCAATCTTCTACGGATCACAACTTTGGCCGCCTCCTCAGTGGAAGCTCTTCCAGCTGTGTCTTCGCTTCTCCGACCCGCTGCCCGAAGACTCTCAAGGCCTCAAGAGTGTCTCAGTGTCTCCAAGACTCCAAACAAACAATTTTAACTTGAACTTGAACACAGAACAAGCACAGAACACCTCCTCTGGCAGCTGAAGCGCTGGAGTGGCGACACACTGCCCTAAGTTCATATTGGCTCGATGGCGGACGGTCCGCGGTTGCCCACAGTTTGGGCTGACATATATATCTCATGTGCGCAAGAGATGCCCGTTCAACTCGGGCTCGAGCCATCGGTTGTTCATCGAAGACTTTTTGGAAGGCGATCTCGACCCGTGCTGGGTAAACTCCGGAACCGTTACAAGGGTGAGAGAAAAACTGGCTGCAAGAAAGAGGAGATGCAGACCAACCAGGGCTCCATGCGCTTCCTTTCTTCTGCGCCGCTAAATTGCAGCTGCGTGCATCATGATCATAGACCTCTGAGCTATTTTACGATCCCGGAGCCCTCAGATCCAATCAAGTGTCGAAAAACTACGCCCCCGTTTCGACGAAACAGCGCCCTCTCGCTCACGAAAACTGACAAGATTCCAACAAAATCACGCCGCCGTATCGCCCGCCGGGCTCGACACAATAATGATGCAAACGAAGATCATACTGCCATATCGCCCGGGCCGAGTCGAACGAGCTCCCCACAATTATCCTGCAAGTACGGGACCCACCTGTGCGCTGGTCGCGAACATCCGCCTCCGAGCCTGTGTGATGGATATGGACTTACTTCGGCCCATTAGCCTCCATGACCTCTCGTGAACATCCCCGAGAACGCCGAGAGCCGGCCATGTGCCTCGGACATGGCTCGGGCATGCACTCTCGGGTGTGTGTCAGCACTGCCCACCCTCGACGCGTCATCTGTCCTAATTTAGGGTATCTCTAGGTATATAAAGGGAGCTTTCCCCCTCCTGTAGACAACACATCTTACCTTTGCAATCCATCATCACTCGAAGCGCCAGCTTTCTACTGGGAACTCTACCACTGAGCTAGTTGTTGCCTTGCCTAGCGGGTACGCATCTAAGCTTCGCAGTCCTAAGATCTACGAGAACATTCCGTAAATCACGTCTAGTAAAGATTTGCTCTTACTATTCGGCTGTTTGGTACGATTCGCGGTGAACGTTGCTGTTTTAAGGCATTCTTGAACTCAAATCCATTTCGCTTGCTGCTAGACAGCTCATTCCTCAAAGGCTTTGGCGGCGCGCGAAGACCGGATTCTTAACAGCCTGATATTGCATCCCTCTTTTTTCCAATATCAAGCTATGGACGCGAGGCGCACCGAGGTCTCTAAATAAATCGAACGCTCCCGAATATTCGTCTGCGATTCAAAACAGACAAGACATCACTTCCCATGTGCTATGGCCCAGGCTCGAGTCGAACGAGCTGCCCCGCAATTATAATCCTATTCAGGGAAACCATTGACGGTATGCAGGAGGCTGCCACACGCCACCAGGCCTGCATCACAAACCTGATTTTCGGGACAAGGTTACGGAAGGGCCAGCGGAGTTCAGATCATATACTTCCCAAATGATACTGAGTCGCAAATTTGAAATGAGCCTCATACCATGTAGTCGCAACTTACAAAGACTATCCACTCTCAGCAGTCCGTACACGAGAGACACTGTGGAAGCTCCGATATCGGTCTCCACAGAGCACACAAAAAGAGCGTGCAAAGTAGACAATGCGGCCCGGGCTCGAGTCGAACGAGCTTCCCCGCAATTATCCTGCTAAACTTGAACTGTACGCAGGAGGCACCACCTGCCGCCGGGCCTTCACCGCAGACCGAACTTCCGATCCATGGATGGGAAACTCCGTGACTGTAATCCCTAGATCATAGTATTTCACGCCTGAGCGCGGTTCCTCGCTCGGGTTCTCTTCAGACAATGTACGTAGCAGCGTGGGTCCCAGGCAAAGCATCAAAAGCAATTCGAGGCAGGAATCAGAGGGATCCAGGAATGGAATGGCAGGCATCATGAGTAAAGTAATCGCTGCAGGAATGCGGACGCAACGAGTCGTCGCAGTGCGCCTTCCCAGTTCGCGTCTCGGCGCGGAGGAGCCAAGGAACGGTGGATGTAAGCCGGGCCCACGGATATAACCAAGCCAAGCATAGGGGCGAAGTCAAACAAAGCCGGAGGGAAAGTAGACTCGAAAGCGTAAGCAAAACCGAAAGCGAAAAAGAGGAGAGGCGGAGCTGGCTGAGGGCGCGATCAGCTTGAAGCGAGACATGCTTATAGAATCTTAGTAGAACCGGGATATACAGTTTGTGCGGAGGGGGACGAAAAACTCGAACGCCGGGTGCTGCGGAAGGACAGAACACTTGGGGCAGCGTAGGCTGAGCCGGATGTAGACGTGCGTGGTTGCACGGGGACAAAAGCCTACGACAAAGCCAAAGCGCCGGCTGAGACACAGTCGGAATCGACTGGAGACTCAGAGTGGTGGTTGCAACTTGGTCGAGCGCGCAAGCAGGCGAGGCGGAGTTTAGAGATAGAACTCCGGTTTAGATGTCCGGAGCGAGCTGGGGAGCGCCGGGTGGCGTAGCTAGGGCGGTACGGAGGGGAGGAGAGGCCAGTGCGACGGCACGGAGGGCTCAGGAGCACGGATCCAGGTGATAGGCCATGGGAAAACACGAGGGAATGATCCGCTGGCGGAGACGCAAGGCGTGCTCGTCAAAGATGCTGAATTCTGGGGGAGCGACGAGCTGGAGAAGTGATGCGCGGACGATGCACGGAGCGCCGGAGCGGGACCGCGTAGGGATTACGGGGTCGAAGCGCAAAGCCGGGCTTGGGCAAGGAATCAGGGTCCAGGATTTGACGAAGAGGAGTGGAGCGTGGGCGCCTAGGATCGATCGCAGCACACAGGGAAGGCGGTCGTAAAAAAGGGGGAGCGAGCGAGGGGCGAAGCCAAGGATGAGGAATGGGTGGTGGAGGAGGTTGAGGACGGGGTGCTAGAAAGAGGGGGAAGAAAGCGGAGTCTCGCAACGGGTTGCAGTACATGCGAGGCAGAGAAGCGCGAGCGCAATTTCAGCGCAGAGAATAGGGCGGAGAGGGAGAACTCGTGACAGCCGTGCGAGGGCGCGGCGGAGTGTGCATGCGAAGCGCGCGCGCCAGTAGCAAAGCACTGCGGCAGGTCAAAGTACCCATACAAGCGTGGATTCAAGAGGGTCACCGGGCCCGCAGTCGGAGGAAACATTTGCACCAATTACGGCGTGCGCGGGGGATCGAGGCAGTGCGCAGAGGATCGACGCGAGATATACCGAGCAGAGCACAGTCACCTTAGCATGGGGGAGTGATACATCACTGCCCGCTAGTTAGCGAGGAGCCATGATATATCAACGCCGCTAATCCAGCGACCTCCCTGATACATCAGGCCAGCAAGCAGCCACAATTCTTGTAGGGAATTAGCACAGCGACCAAGCAGTGCCCGGCGCCGTGCTACACAATGAGCTGGATTATCCGCATTTGGACAACAGCGATCAAAAGTGTTCGACGTCGGTGGCGACGATGAGCACCAGATCTGCCGCAAAAAATCTGAAAAAAATGCATATTGTGGAGACAGTACATATCATACAGAGGGCAAAGCATCTAGTCCGGCGTCGACCCGAAACACCCGAAAATACACTTTTGTTCCTGCAGACGCTACAGCCAATGGATTCGAGGGCGGTCTCCCCCGGCTATGTACAGGGTGCCGGTGAAGTGCAGATAGACACACAGCTCCCTCCCCCATCCGAGCGTCCACAGTGGCGCCGCTTCACTCCCATGCATGCCACGAGGCTGCGCGCGCCAGCAGGTTTGTTGCATACCTCGCACTGCTAGTCCGTTGCACGGGCGCAGGCGCGCATGTGGGGCGGTAGATGCAGCACTCGTCCACCCCCTACTGCAGCTGGTATTGATGCGTCGTCGTCCTCGGCACGCCGGTGTCGGGTGCCGGGTGCGGCCAGGGAGCACGCTGCCCAGCGCACCGGTGCCGATGTCCTCGTTCGCTTGCAGCAGAGGCGAGGGAGGACGCCGGAGCCCGCGGGCGCCGCCGCACCGGCGGGACATGCCACCCACTCGCTCAACACGGGATTGCGGGCGCGTACTTGGTGCGGACAGGGGCGAGGGTGGGGGTGTGCGTCCCGATCGTGAGGCAGTTCGTATGATCGGTGCGGAGTCCGTGCGCGCGCCTTGCACCCAAATCGGAGAGTGCAGAGACGAGAGAGCGGTGGACGGGCGCGGGCGCTGGTGTACAGAGTGCGCGAAAGCGGAGTCGGCTCTGGCCCAACGGAACCGCGCGTGGCCGACTTCCCACTGAGTCGATCAGCCCTGATTGCGCAACCTGCCCGACTAGATGTGATTGTGCAGCGCGTTGAGAGTTGCGCAGTTGATGAACGGTGGTAGCGCCTCTCGCGCGAAGTGGCGCTAAGAAAGGCGCTCCCCACGCCGGCCGCCTCCGAGTTCGTGGGATTTCGGTGCCAGTGCGTCGCGGCGAGCGACTCGGAGACGGTTTGCACGCGGGGGGCACAGGCGTATGTGGGGTTTTGATGTATCAGGACAAGCCTGATTGTCGGAGTGTAGTAATAGTTCAAACAGCCTGATTTAGCGTGGCGTATGATATATCACGCCAGCCTTACTCCTTTGCCCACCCGCGCCCGTGCGCCCACCGCTCCCCCGCCTGGCGCCCTGCCTCGGCCTGCGTACGGGGGCGCATCCCGCCACTCCTAATCGGGCATTCTATTTACAATTGTTGTTCATCGTCATTCCCTTTCCTCCCCCACCATCCGGCTTCCCCTGCACCCTGCCCCTCCCTCCTCGGGCTGTCCCTTCCTCAGTAGGCACTAGACGCTCCCCACTACCTCCCCGCCCTTCATTCGCCCTTCATTTTGGCCTGTAGCCCCCGTGCTTCCGGTTCCGCGGCCCCGCTTCCCAGCGCGGCGGGACCGATACCGCCCTTCCCTCTGGTCCGGCTCCCCTCGGTTTGGGAGAGGAATCAACCGACCCGTAGGCCCACCCTCTCCGCTGTGCGCGCTAACCACATCTGCCTTGTTTGTCCCCGTAGCGCCGCTGCACGCCCCGCACCGCCAGCGCCTGCAGCACCCTCCCAGCGCCGCTGCCGGTCCTGCGCTACTTTCCGGTGTGTAATAGTACCAGTGCACCATGGCTCCCACTCATCCCGCATCCCGCAGCGTCCCCGCTCTACCGTCGCTCCTCCACCACTGCGCACCGCCGCTCGCCGGTTCTTGGGGTCCTCCGACGCGGCGTCCTCCTCTACC